TCTTTTTAAATTTTTATATTCTTATTTTTTGGTACCAGGGATTGAACCCAGGGTGCTTTACCACTTGAGCCCCATCCCCAACCCTCTTTATTTTGAGACAGGGCTGTGATAAATTGCTTAGAGCTTTGCTCAGTTACTGAGGCTGGCGTTGAACTTGCAGTCTTCCTGCCTCAACCTCCTGAATCTCCAGGATTTCAGTCATGTGCCACCATGCATGGCCTTTTTAAATTTTTTTATTTGGAAACATGGTCTTGCTAAGTTCCTGAGGCTGGCCTTGAACTTGCAATTCCCATGCCCTGGAGCTTTCTTGACCAGGGAACGCTGAGTAGATCTCTATGCTCACAGTGACCCTGGCCTTAACAGTTATTCTGTAGGCCTGAAAGATCATCCTGAATTAGGCTAGTGGTAATGCAGAAGGTGGTCATGCATCTCTTTGCCCATCAGATTGAATAGGAACAATTCCAACTCAATGAAGAGAATATAGCACTGCCACACTCTGTTACATTCATAACCAGAATCTTCTCTCTATCCTGAACTGACAGCTATTAGGGTCACATTCTGCTGAGTTGAGTGTTTGCCATAGATGGATGTTACTTGCTTTGGGCATTTCTTTTAGTGTCTTAAATTGGAAAGACAGCCAGCAATCCTGCATTTGGTCTATTAACCAGTTTCAGCTTGTAACCATGAAGTTTACAGATAGCCTGTTTGCAATATAAAAAACATGCAACTTTAAATGTGTCTTGGTCTTTCAGCTTTCATGATGTTAAGGAGAAGGCTCATTCAGCTTGGCTTTTAGCTGGGTAGGACAGTGCCATTTTGTTTATACTAATGGAGAGTTATTAGGATTGGAGATCAGCCACTATCCTACCATAAAGGACTTGAACAAATAACTTTGAGAGTACTTATTTCAACGAAGTACAAAGGGTCAGTAAATTTGAAAAACATCAAATGGCCAAAAGTGATATATTTTTTAAAATAACAATTCTCCTTATTAAATTGATGATGGTTTTTAAAATACTGTTTTGAGTTGGTTATAGTGGCATACACCTTTAATCCCAGTTACTTGGGAAGCTGTGGCAGGAGGATTATAAATTCAAACCCTCATGTTAATCAGCTTTCTGTTCTGTGACAAAATACCTGAGAAAAATCAACATAATTGAAGAAAGTTATTTTGGCCCATGGTTTCAGTCCATGGTCACTTGGCTGCATTGCTTTGGACCTAAGGCAAAGCAGAACATCATGGTAGAGGAAGGCTGTTTACCTCCTGGCAGCCAGGAGCAGAAAAAGAGGAAAGGGTTAAGGACAAGACAATCCCCAAGGGCACACCCCCAGGATTTATAGCCTTACAGTAAGTCCCACCTCCTACAATTTATAACACATCCCAGTAGTCCAATCAGCTGTGAAGCCATCAGTGGGGATTAGAGCCATGAATCCACTGATGGGGTTAGAACCCTTGTGATCCAATTATTTCCCAAAAGTCGCACCTCAGAACATTGCTGCATTGGGGATCAGGTCTTCCCACAGATGAAACTTTGGGGTACATGCCTTCCAAATCCCAATTATTAACTACCAACCTAGGTGATTTAGTGAATTCCTGTCTCAAAATTTAAAAGGGGAGGGGGGTTGAGGATATTGCTTAATGGTAGAATGCTTGTTTAGCATGTGAGGTGCCCTGGATTCAATCTCCAATACCTCAAAAAAATAAAATACTGTTTTGACAAGAATATGGGGTGGTGGTGGGGGAGTGTAAACTTGCACAAACTTTTTGGAATGCTTGCCCTTTGATCCAAAACTAGGAATTTATCCTAAGGAAATAAAAAAGTTCGTTAATAGATAAGAACAAAAACACTCATAACAGCATTGTTTATCTTAGTGAAAATTTAGGAATACTTTATGGCCATTAACAATCATGTTCTTATAGCTGAGCATGTTGGTGCAATCCTGTAATGTCAGCATTTTAGGAAACTGAAGCAGAAGGATCACAGGTTCAAGGTCAGTCTGACAATTTAGCAAGACTGTCTCAAATTTAAAAACAAGGAGTGGGGTTGTAGTTGGGTGGTAGGGCAACCCAGGGTTTATTCCCCAGAATTCCCCTTTTTCTCCCACACATTATTTTATTTTTTATTATGGGACTTTATTCATGAGGGACAACGTGGTTAGGATACAAGCCAGCAGGTGGTCACAGCCTCACCTCCTGCAGGGTGCGTGGAAGCATAAAGGGAAGGAGGTGCACCCAGGAACACCCATTCCACTCCTAGAGACCCAGACACACTCCCGGTGACTCAAACAGGTAGGGGTAACAAGAGATGAAGAGTGGCCAGAGTGAGGACCTGTGGGATGGGGCAGGTGCAGAACCCCCCTCCACTCAGAAATCTCTTGGCTCTCATTTGTCTTCCTCTTCAAGGACATCTAAAAGGTCATGAGCAAATTTCTTCAAGTTGGCTTCTGGTTTCTCACTGTGTACCCCCGCCAGGACGCAGGGCCCCTTGGGAAAGGCTGCTGCCGGGACACTCTCCGGGAGGTTCTCAGGGGCCTGGCACTGAACACAGGAGCTTCCCGGGGCTTCTTGGGCTGCAGGAGCCAGCACCTTCCGCCGATGGACATGTGCCCCATGTGCCCCGGGAGGAGCGTGAGTGCTTCTCCCACACATTATGTTCTTAGCTGGTGTAGGGGCATTTGTCTGTAATCTCCAGCCACTCAAGAGGCTGAGGCAAAAGGATCACAAATTCAAGGCCAGTCTCAGCAATTTCACAAGACCCTCAGCAACAAATAAAACAGAAAATGGGCTGGGAATGTAGCTCAGTGGAAAGCGCTTCGTTTTGAGCCAGGTGTGATGGTACATGCCTATAATCCCAGTGACTTTGGGAGGCAGAGTTAGAAGGATCATGTGTTTGAGGTCAGCCTGGAAAATTTCATGAGGCCCTGACTCAAAAAGTAAAAAGGGCTGCGGATGTAGTTTGATTGTAGAGCGCCCCTTGGTTCAATTCACAGTGTCATTTTTTTAAAAAAGTATTTTTCTTGGAGGGAAAGCTCATTGTTAGAGCTCTTATCTAGCATGTGCAAGGCCCTGGGTTTGGTCCTCAGCACCATAAAAATAACAGTCATGTTCTTGGAGCCATGTAGCTCATGGTGTGTATCTTAGCATTAAAGCTCATGCATAGCATGCCCAAGGCCCTGGGCTCTAATCTCAGTACATACCCAGTCATGTTCTTGAAGTATAATAGGAAAAAAAGGCAAGGTATAAAATTACATATAATAACTCAATTAAAAGTACTTTCAAATATGTATGTGCTTTATATACACTCAAAAATCTGGTGGGTTATAACCTAAAATGCTCAGTGGTCCTGTGGCAGGATTAAGACTTAGTTAAAAAAAAAAAATTTCTCCTCTACCCCTGCCACAAAGTTAGATTTCTGGGCTGGTGTTGTAGCTCAGTGGCAGAGCGCTTGCCTAGTACATGTGAGGCACTGGGTTCTATTCTGAGCACCACATAAAAATAAATAAAGGTGGGTTGGGGATGTGGCTCAAGTGGTAGTGCGCCCGCCTGGCATGCGTGGGGCCTGCGGCCCGCGGCCCAGTTTCCATCCTCAGCACCACATACAAACAAAAATGTTGTGTCCGCCGAAAACTAAAAAATAAATATTAAAATTCTCTTTCTCTCTTTAAAAATAAATAAGTAAATAAAGGTACAGGTCTGTCTGCTAGTAAAAAAAAAAATAATTAAAATTTTTAAAAAAGCTCAGATTTCTACAGACCTATTTATTTATCAAGAAACCAAAAGGTAAAAAAATATTCAATGAAAATAATTTGTTATTTTGGTTGCTTAGCAGAGTGTGTACCACATCCAATAAGAAAGAGTTTGTAAAAGATGTGGGTGGGACAGGGGATCCAAGTTGGAGGCCAGTCTTGGCAATTTAGGGAGGCCTTATAAAGCAGAAAAAGGACTGGGGATGTAACTCGGTGGTAAAACAGTCCTGTGTTCAGTCCCTAGTACCAGAAAAATATAAAAGCATAGGAAACTCTTGTTTGGAGTGATATGTCTTCATTTATTATACTTGAATTTTAGAATCTCAGAATAGAAGCATTCCTCATATGTCCTTTGTTTGGATCCTCAGTATGTTCCCAGAGGTTGAATATTTTAATGCTTATTTTCCCAATCATCCTTGTTTATCTTCATGACCTGTTTGCTTCACAGGGAGCAATGTGGTTTCCATGTTTTATTTAAGTGAAGATCTTAGGAGTTGATTTTTAAGCAGCCAACTTAGTTTTTTTAGCTTTTCCTAATTAATTTTGTTTTAGCTTTCAGAGATGAAATTGTGGTCAGCATTCTAAGATTTTTCTTTTTTTGGAATTAAACATTCTAGATGTGAAGAGAATAAATAAATGTATGAGCTCAATGTAGATTACAAACTTTCCCTACTTCTTTCTGAAAAGGAGAGCCTGCTATATTTTCTTAAGTTGAATAGAAGATTGCAACAAGCTGGGCATAGTTACTCCACCTTGGGAGGCTGAGGCAGGAGGATCACAAGTTCAAGGCCAGCCTCAGCAACTTAGGTCCTAAGCAATTTAAAGAGACCCTATATCAAAGAATAAAAAGGTTTAGGGATGTAGCTTAGTGATAAAGCGCTCCTGGGACAGAAGAAGGGAAAAAGATTGCAGCAAAATTTAGAACCTTTACTGGGGTATCAACAGAATATATTGAGAGAATGAACAAAAATATTCCACATTGACTGTCTGATCTAGTATGAGAGCAAGCCCAACTGGCCTGATCTGTCCTGGCATCCTATGAGGCCAGTGGTGCTGGACATCTTATTTTCACAGGATATTTCATCTTCAGTGTATGATGTTGATTTTTTTGTGAGGAGAAGAGATTATTTTTTTAAAGACAGTTTTTCTGCTGATTAAATGTTGACTAAAGTGTGTGTGAGAAATGCTTAAAATCTTCATTTCATCTTCAATATAGTACATCTTTAAATAACACTCTGCTCTGTTTTTTCCAGGGGTGAGCCCCTCCAGACTCCGAATAGGAGATCAAGAGTTTGATTCATTGCCTGCTTTACTGGAATTCTACAAAATTCACTATTTGGACACTACAACATTGATAGAACCAGTTTCCAGATCCAGGCAGGGTAGTGGAGTGATTCTCAGGCAGGAGGAGGCAGAGTATGTGCGAGCCCTCTTTGACTTTAATGGGAATGATGAAGAAGATCTTCCCTTTAAGAAAGGAGACATCTTGAGAATCCGGGATAAACCTGAAGAGCAGTGGTGGAATGCGGAGGACAGCGAAGGCAAGAGGGGGATGATTCCAGTCCCTTACGTGGAGAAGTATAGACCTGCCTCCGCCGCCTCAGTATCGGCTCTGATTGGAGGTAACCAGGAGGGTTCCCACCCACAGCCACTGGGTGGGCCGGAGCCCGGGCCCTATGCCCAACCCAGCGTCAACACTCCGCTCCCTAACCTCCAGAATGGGCCCATTTATGCCAGGGTTATCCAGAAGCGAGTCCCTAATGCCTACGACAAGACAGCCTTGGCTTTGGAGGTACATAATGTATAAAATGTAGAAAGAAGAGATCTGCTATAGGGTCTCCCTTTCAGACCTCTTAGAGCTTTGTAGGAATGCTGAATACAAGCACCAGCATTGTGATGTTGTAGATGTTGAACCATTAAGTACTGATTTTGGCATTTAATGTTGGGTTTTCTCTTTTATATTGAAAACCTATTTTGCAATGAGTAAACTTAAAACTGTATAACTGAATGTTTTGACTTACCTACTAAGCATATTTTGATTAACAATACTACCTGAATTCACTAAAATATTTTCTCTTATCTATATTCTAATCTTTCTTGCTTTCTTTTTGTCATTGTCTAAAAGAAGGTGGGTTTACACAGATTTGAGTGTAATAAGTGGTCTTTAGCATAGCATTTAAGTGTAATTTTCCCACAAAAACAAAATGTTTTTACTTTAGAGGATATGAAGTTCCTTACTATTGATTATGTTCACCAAGGATCAGGAGTGGGGCTGGGGATGTAACTCAGTAATAAGAGTGCTTTCCCAACATGCATTAGACCCTGGGTTCAACCCCCAACACTATTGAAAGAAAGCTTCAGGAGGGAACAATAAAGTGTAGTATAGGTGGGAAGTGAGCTATACCTAAAAGTGATAATTCCAAGAAGTGGCAAATTTGTATTTTTTGTTTAATGCATTTTATTGTCAAGAAGCCAGTTCTTAAGGGATTAATTTTTAGCCATTTACTGGTGAATAGTTATTGTTGGTAACTTATCTCCTTCTGGTCAATCATGACATTGTATTTATTCCTTCTTTCTTTAGCACTGCTTTGCCTCTTACCTCCTCCTTTTCTCCTCCCCCCTTTCTTCCTTTCATCCTCACTGAGTTATACAGAGCTATAGTTGAGCATAAAAACTGCTACAGGGAGAGAAAAAATGCTACAGAAGAGGCATCCTATTCCTGTGTTTCAGAGACTACTGATATAATGATTTGAATGTAAATGGGTACTAACTTTCATAAGCACAGGCTGAAGTTATGCAGAGAAAAAGTAAAAGTACATTCTTATAAACTTAAGGATCCTTTTTTTTTTTTTTTTTTGTGATGCTGGGGATTGAACTTAGGCCTCTCACATGCCAGGAGAGCACTTTACCACTGACTACATCCCCAGCCTTCCTCTTTCTTTTCTTTGGGTCATGTTCATGCAGTGAGGAGTTGGAGCGCTCTCTGTTTAAGGGGGAGTGTTAGTCCACAGAATGAGCTAGAATTTATTTGAACTAGTACTAGTCTCTGATATTACTGGATTTGAAATTTTTCTTTTAGTTTTTGATCTAGTAGAAGGAGGGTTAATTTTCTAGGTTTGACTGAAAATGTGTGTTTGTTTTTTTGTATTTTTTAGTTGTAAGTGGACATAATATCTTTTATTTTATTCATTTTTATATGGTGCTGAGGATTGAACCCAGGGCCTCACACATAGAAGGCAAGTTCTCCACCACTGAGCTACAACCCCAGTCCCTGAAAATATGTTTTTAAAGTTTGTATGTTTTAAGAGGATGTTTGTGACTTTTGTGTTTCTGCTTTAATGAGAAAATGAAATGTATGTTGCTAAGTCACACTGTTTTTTGTTTTTTCATTTTTGCCTTTTTTTTTTTTTTGAGATGGGGGTCTCATTGTGTTGCTCAAGTTAGCCTCAAACTCAAGATCCTCCCACCTCAACCTCCTGAGTAGCTGGGATTATAGGCATGCACTACTTCTTTTTCCCAACTTAGACTTTGGAGAATAAGAAAAAACTAGAATCCAGCCTCATGTTTTCATTTATGTTCAGATGATGATAACTTTCTAACTTGTTGCTGTGCATATGATAGATGTGACTCTTGACATTTATTTGCAGATCTTATTAGCATAGGGCTGGAGTGTCAGCTAACATCCAGAAGAGGATAGTTATCATATTAATTTTGCTTCCATTTGCATTTCCTTCCTCAAAGAGAATTATTTTTAATGATGTATACCTTGGTTGAACATGGTGGCAATGGCATATGATCATGGTTCCTGCCTGTAATCCCAGCTATTCAAGAGGTTGAGGCAAGAGGATCACTTGAGTTCCTGAATTCAAGAGCATCTTGGGCAACATAGTAAGACCTCCTTCTCAAAAACAAAACAAAACAAAAAAACCATAACGAAACAAAATAAAAAACCTCAAACAAAGAGAGTGATGTCTGCCTTCACTAAGTAGGGTCTTTTAACACTAAAAAATGGTTGATCTAATCTCCCTACTATCAAATACAATCTTGTAAAATAAAGATTTACATAGAAAACTAGTTTAAATTTTCTTTTTGGTTTGGATATTTGTTTTTGAGCCACATATGTTTATTGCTAAAGAGAGCCTCTTTCAAGTTAAAACAAATACCCTGACTAGTAGCTTTAAAACACCTTTTTTTAATGTAGTTGGGGGAAAAAAAATGGTTGTTTGTTTAGCATCATAGAACTCTAGAATTGGAAAGGGCCTTAAATATCCTCATTGAAAATTGATATTAAGACTGGTTGAATGGATCATGCAAACTAATTGGTTATGGAAATGTGACAAACCTAAATCTACCTTGGCACTTTTCTACCAAACCCAGATAACAGTACTGCTGCCCTCCTCCATGCAAGTTTTATGTGGCTTCATTGACAGCAAGCATGTCCTCAATTGTATTATCTATATAGGGAAGTATAGTTCTCCTTTTCCATCTGGTTTTTTTTTTTTTTTTTTTTTTGAGTACCATGGATTGAACCTAGGAGCACTTAACAACGGATCTACATTCTCAGCCCTTTTTATTTTAAGACAGAGTCTGGCTAAGTTAGAGGTTCTCGCTAAATTCTGAGGCTGGCCTTGAACTTGCCATCCTCTTGACTCAGCCTCCTGAGCTGCTGGGATTACAGTTGTGTGCCACTGTGCCTGGCCCCATTTCTGGTTTTCATAGAAACTAATGTCTACTCCTTATTGTGTGAGACTGGAAGATTAGGAAAGTTTGGCTTTCTGACCTTAGCATTCTCATAAGAAAATTATGCATTGACATAGATCAGTTTTTCCGTATGAAACATAATTTGACCTATTATAAATCCAGATCTGTAAACCAGCTAGGTACATTTTGGTAGCATTTTACATTCTATTTATTTATTTATTTATTTATAATGCTGGGATTGAACCCAGGACCTTGCACATGTTAGGTTAGTGCTCTACCACTGAGTTAGTGTATACACCACTGAGCTGTATCCCAGTGATAGATCTATTTAATTTTAGATTTGGTCAAGACTTTAAGATATATTAGACCCACATTTTCAGACTGCTTTTCAGTACCCTAAGAGTCTCCAGGAAAGGGTAAAGCTAAGGTTGCAAGATCTTGGGTTTCTTTCTCTTGCTTTAACCAAAGCATTTGTTTTTTTATTTTTATTTTTGTTGAATTATTTATTTTTCCAGTACTGGGGATTAAACTCGGGGCCTTGTACGTGCCTGGCAAGTGCTCAACTACGGATCTACATCTCAAGCCCCGCCCCCCCCCTTTTTTTTTTTGGTGTGTGTGTGTGGTGCTGGGGATTGAATCCAAGGCCTTGTGCATTCCAGGCAAGCACTCAACCAACTGAGCTATATCCCCAAGCCCCTTTTATTTTTTATTTTGACACAGGGTCTCATATTAAGTTGCAGAGCCTGGCCTTAAATTTTTCTCCTACCTCACTCTTCTGAATCACAGGCATGTGCCACAGGGTACGTACCCCAGCTAAAGCAGCTGCTTTTTTTTTTTTTTTTTTTGTCGTATTGGGGCTCTACCACTGAGATATCTTCCTACACCTTTGTATTTTTTATTTTGAGACAGGTTCTCACTAAGTCATCAAGGCTGACCTTGAATTTCTAATCCTTCCCGCTCAGCCTCCTGAGTAGCTGGGATTACAGGTGTGCGTCACTGTGCTCCAGCTAAAGCAGCTGTTTTTCACTGTTATATATTATATCATATCTCTGTAAGATTTTCTTTGAAGAAAGAGTTTCTGTGCCTTTTTATGGTTTTTTGTTCTGTTTCTGTGTTTTAAAAAATAAATTTTTAAAAGTGTTCAAGAATCACCTCTTCTCATTTTACAAATGTATGTTTCCTGCATATGGGTATATTTGTCATGACTGAAGTGTCTTACTAGAATATAAATTATTAGATATTTTCTCTTTTTCTACCCAGATTTCTCTATTAGGAATGAAGGCATTAGAGAGAAGGGATTAACTGCAGCAAATGACCAACGGGTGTTCCTCTGCCCACCCATAGATCTGTGGGTTGATCAATCAATCATATTCTAGGAACATAACAGTGAATTAAACAGACATTAAATAAAATGCAGACATGAATGTGTTGGAGGAAAAATGATTAAATAACTCTAGAATAATGCAGAGGCCTTTTTCATTTTTGATGGGGGCTACCAGGGATTGAACTCAGGGGCTCTTGACCACTGAGCCACATCCCCAGCCCTATTTTGTATCTTATTTAGAGTCTCACTGACTTACTTTTTTTTTTTTTTTTAAAGAGAGAGAGAGAGAGAGAGAATTTTAATATTTATTTTTTTAGTTTTCAGCGGACACAACATCTTTGTTTGTATGTGGTGCTGAGGATCGAACCTGGGCCGCACGCACGCCATGCGAGCGCGCTACCGCTTGAGCCACATCCCCAGCCCCTCACTGATTTACTTAACACCTCACTTTTGCTGAGGCTGGCTTTGAACTCACAATCCTTCTGCCTCAGCCTCCTGAGCCACTGGGATTACAGGCATGCGCCACTGTACCACCTTGTTGTCATGATGAATCTTGTAAATGTGGATGTTTATTTTATGCCTCTGTGGACTATGCAAAACAATCATACTTTGTTTAAAAGTGCTACTTGTGTAATTTCTATTGCATATTCAGCCTGGCATTTTGCTTTCAATAAGTAAGACTTGAGAATACTTGGGTACTCCCAGACTTGGACTTTTTCTTCATAGTACAGATGTGAAAGGTGTAAGGTGCTTTGGATTCTTTTTGA